CCTCACCCCTCAGCTGAGAAAGAGGAAACAGGAGAGAATAAAGAATTACCTTTCCAAACACGATCACTTGTTTTTCTCCCTTGTGATGCTTCCACCTACACCTTTACAGATGTTTTCTGTGCTTCCATCCTCTGCTCTCTATCGTCTCTGTGAAGCACTTTGAGATGTTTATCCTCCCGTTACATAAGTGTAAATTGCAACGTACGTTTAGCTGGTAGAGTTGGAGCATCTGCTCACTGAAGAAGTGGATGCATTTATCGAAGATATTTTGCACCCTTCAAGATGCAAACTGTTTGTAAGAAAATGATATAATCTTTGCACTAAATTCCAGGAAGTAGACAAAAAGTAAGACTCATCTCCTTCCTTCAATTTTCTTTCTAAAGTGATAGGAAAATGGCCTGTCAAGTGCTCAGTGAAACATAGGTAGATAGATGCTAGAAATCCGATATTACAAGAACATGGAAAGAGTGTACGAAAAAGCCTTTTTTGGTTCATCAAGCCTACTTCGTTCATTGAGCCACGTGTAATCCAGGCTGGCATGGACTGGTTAATTCATTTTATCACCTAAAGGTAGACAAGTCACTACAGGTAAACCTCTCGCCTCTCCTCAACCCACCCCCCACCAGCACCGTAAGAAACTCTCTGCACAGTTTCTCTCAACTCTTTAACACAGTCGAGCTAAAATCAAATGAATATCCATCAAACATAATTCAACCTGACCAGATAAACATAACGTTCTCATGACAGGACATAGATCTAACTGTACTCCTTCACCACTACTTAGTACTTTTTATAAAATAATATGTATTTGTACCTTCGAAAAAACTTTAGTGAAAACTTTCTTCACATTCTTTCTTCACTTTCTTCTCTCAAGCTATATTTGATGCCCTGTCTGCAAAGTGCTTTGTTGGTATCTGGGTTTTATTTTGTATGGGAACTCAGCTATTTCAGGTCCTCTGCCAATGCAGTTTAGTATAGCTACAATCAGCCACTGTAACCACAGCAAGTGAAGACAACAACAACAACAACAAAATTCAATTTATAAAGCGCCTTTCACGTCAGGAGGACGTCCCAACCATTAACCATTAACGTTGTAGTGGGAATACATTATTTTATTATTTTATTCCAGAAAAATGGGTATCCTGCTGTAGTTTGAAATTAAACACTGCTTCTCTCTGATATTCTGCAAAGGATAACGGATTTGTAACCCGCCTGTATATGATAAAAGAGTCCCAAGACATTTGTATCCTAAGGAACAGAGGTATTTAATGTCATACTCTGTGAAATACTTTCTTCTAGAACACAAACAGTCCCAGTGATATTATCCTTTACAAAATGCATTAAATCGAGATTCCCATAGTGCATACGAAATGTAACACTGTATTTCAGAATTAATTTCACTGCAGCATTATGTGATATAGGTTTAGCAGAACGTTTTGTTTGGGACTAAGTTGCGTCAGAATTTGCTAAGTAGGATCAAGTTCTTCTTCAAGTATTCTGACGGTCTTTTTACTTTCCAGTGACCTGTATTTGAAGTATATGCCTTTGCCAGTCTCTCTACCCATCTTGATTATGACTTGGTAAACTTGCACAAAACTAGTTATTTAAGATTGAGAGATCACCGCAATAAAAGCCAAATTCTCATGAATCAAGCCGGATTAATAATGTTATAAAACGACAGATATATACTATTGACGGATGTCACTGCTTATTCAATGAATTGCTCTGAAATAACACAATACCCAGCTGATGGTATTTTTCAACCCCTGCTCCCATAAGGATGTCTCAGAGTACCAATGAGTCAGCATTTGCCATCCCTGTGAGAAGCCAGCAGCATCTGAATAGGCTTTTCTTATCTGTTGGTTAGCAGGAGTTGAATGCAGACTGTTCAAACATAATGTCTCAAGTTTGATAAGTAAGAAAAGAAAGTACAAATGACAGGTCTGATGCATGTTTCAGCCTGAACCGACGGACTGCAAAGCATAAAGACCACCCATGGCAACAACAACAACAAAATTACATTTCTATAGCGCCGTTCATGTCGGGAGGACGTCCCAAGGCAGTGGACAGTCCGAGTTTTGGACCTGTGCTGGAAGTCGGGATCAGGGAGGGTGGAGGCAGGATGATTGAAAGCAGGGTGAAGAGGAGGGTCTTGAGATGGGTCTTGAAGGAGGGGGCGAGGCGGAAGGGAGGGTGCGAGGCAGAAGGACTGTGGGATGGAGTTCCAGAGGGTTGGGGTAGAGCGGCAGAAGGCTTGTCCACCAATGGTGGGGCGAGCAAGGTGGGGGACGTGTAGCAGGCCGGAATGTACTGAACGGAGGTAGCGGGCAGGATGGTAGGGGGTTAGGAGGTTGCAGAGGTAGGCTTCTCATTGTCTGAAGCCCCCTGCTAGAAGGTGCACATGTGTAGATTTTGGATACTCTGAGCCAAGACACTGACAAGGAGCATGATCCGATACAACCCTGAATTAAGAGAGCTGCAGGATAATAAGCAATAGATCGTTCTGGATATTGAGGAGAAAGAGGTGAGGAGAAGGAAGTTTGCTACTTTTGTGGAGCTGGCCAGAGGATGGCTTCATTTCCTGAGACTCATTCTAACTCCTGATCAGTAAGAAGCAGATTGCGGTAACAGGTTTATCTTAAACAGAATGCCCAAAATGATCCTGATCTGAATAACCTCATGAGCCATACCTTTCATTCAAACACAGAACCACTCAGTGAAGCAAAAGTTGACATAAATTTGGAAAAAGCAGTACATGCAGTATTTAACAAAATGCATTCCACAAAGGTTACCAGTTTAACTTGGTTTGAAATCTTCCTTGAAAAAAAAGGAGTTGAATAAAAATCACATTGAAAAACAGATCTAGTTTTATGCTATTTGTTGTCTATTGTGTGAGGCATAAAATAATACGATTTGTAGAAGCTTCTTGAAAAGACATTCTTACTAAGAATAATCTGACATAAAACAGGCTTGAAATGCATTTTCACCATACTTATATTCATGACAGAAATAAAATAGTACTAGAATGGATCTTACTTTGATACCACACAGCAGCATTTGTTTATGATTTATGGCTTCCAATTCTTGCCCGAAGGGAATCAGCACTGTAAATACTTCAAATCCATAATTTCCAGTTACTTAAGTGTTTGGACAAAAGTCAACCATGTAACTAACTGCACAAACTAGAGAACTACTGTTTTACAATGCAATGACCAGATTTATAGAACCTTATACTATAAGGCAGGGTTGCGCTGCAGAAGTCTGCAACCTAGATAAGGAATTCACTAAGCATCCTTTGTGCCCTGTCCCCATCCCCATGGCTCAGTGTGTCAGAGCACCCATGCACCATGTCACCCGAAAACTTGCTTTACTTTTAATGGCAAAACCCAAATAGAACAATATTTACACAAATCTGCCTTCTAAGCAGTGAGCACACTCAATGTGGCATGTCCTTTAGCAAGGTTCAACAAAAGCTGTATCAAGAACCTTCTCCAACTAATGAAATTCCTCAGAGTTTTGCAATGAATGAAGCTTTTGTCCCATTAAACAGAGACTATTTGTGCAGTTTGAATGAAACTAGATACTGACCAATGAGTACAGATACAGGTAGAGTGTGTGATACATTGAGCTGTGGCATGACCTTGTGAATACCAAGAAAGAATTTCCGCTGCTCATATTTTTCTTTCATGCCACAAAAAAGACTGTATGTGCATTGAATCCTTTAATAGCATTTAAAACAGCGTCTTCTTCAGATTTCTTCATTCAATGCTGGTTTTCAACAGTAAAGCCACATATAAAGTAATAGACTTTATTATGATCACACACTTCCGAATTACATTTAGTGCCCTCTTTAAATATGCTCATTACAATTCCTTTAAGAGGACGATATAGAGGAAGTAAAAGTATTAAGGAATTCGGAATAAAGGCAGAGGAATGACATTAAGGGGAAAAACATAAGAAAGATAAAGAGGTGTTATGATCTACTAAAATGATGGTGCAGGCTTAATGTGCTGAATGCGCTGTTGATGTAATTATCTGAAGGAAAATCTGTTCATTAGTGAATCAATGCTATTGAACTCATGAGGATAAATATATAAGGTAGTGCGATTTGAAAAGAAACGTGGAAAATAAACTCAATAAATGGATGTGCATCAGCAAAGGTGGAGAAGGAAAAGACTGAGTGTGGTTAGCAATCATTCACTAACATCCAGTCAATGCAAAGCTGTTAGCAAGGTGCATAAACACCAGGTTGCTGCTTGAAGGTATTTGCTAGGAAGTTGATTCAGGTGATTATACCTTGGCCACAGTATAAATAGCCATTCATAGGCCAATGGCTCTACTATATTATGTGCAGTGCAGAAATTTGCAGGAAGTTTTAGAAATCCGTTCAAGCCAAAGTGATGAAACCACTGAAAGAAAGCTCAGCATATAGACTGAATGATTAAATGGGCTTGGATTTTTTTTATTCCATACAATTCTGGCTCATGTGAACATTTCCTGGCAAAATACTCCTGTATTTATTAGGTTTCAACTGTATTAAGAATGACAAGCAACAGGAAGTGACAAAAAGTTGGTATTATTTTAAGGGTAAGCCTAATGCCATAATAAGCCTAGAATACATGTCTATTATGGCAAGGATAGCCTAATCTACAGGTCTCCTGTTATGATAGAGGAATTTTTTTTTATACAGTAGTTCTGAAGATATTTAGGTGTGAATTTGGCATTTGAATAGTATAAAAAAATAATCTCAGCACCCAGCTCCAGTCTGTAATAAGGATCTATAACAGTCCAGCTAGCATTCTGAATGTCATTCCTATATTATAATTCTCATTGATCGGTGAGGCAAGAAGTGCACAGAACAGATCCTGATGACCTCTGCTGGCAGAACTGTTCCACTCACAAAGGAATGAATTTGCACGACTGCTTCTGTCTGGAGTAACCAATGTTGTGATACATCAAAAAGGATGGAAGGGTGGAGGATGGAAACTCAAATACTGGAGTTACTTGAAATCATGTTTTATTCCTCAATTTGACATAATCATCCATTACATGCACACTATCAGACAATAGGACGTACTTTTTATTTTGAAATTACTAATATCGAAGCACACAGTCTTTTACACGTTTATAAAACGAGTCAAAATTATGAGTATTATTATCTTCAAAGTGTACAAAGGGGAATTAGATTATCAAGAGATCTATCATAAAATTGTCGTTGCTTATCAAGGACATTAATCCCTTCCCTCGCTGTGATGCTCCCAACGGAAGTAATAGGAATTCTATATTATAGTGAATGCAAAGGGGGATGGGATGGTTTGTATATTTAACCAGTCAGAAGCCACATGCACCCTGCTTCAGCTCCCACTACATGGGGCATAAAGCAACTCAGCACTGACCCTCAGCTTTTCATATCAACCTTCAAGCCATACTGCACCAGAGGGAATTTATAGTGGTTTCTGTGTTTCAAAACCTAACAACGGAAATTAGTAATCTACAAAACTAGGCGGTGAAACCAATAGGTGACACAGGTGTTACCCAAATAAGGAACCCAGGATAAGTTCAACTCACAGTGAATAACTATATTTACTCAAATCTGTGAACAGTCTTCCCATTGCACATCAGAGACTATGCCGTTTTCGAGAGGTTACCAGGCCTATTCCGCACTTTGCATAGGCCACATCTGAATATGCAGCACAAATCATTTCTACGATTTACTAACTTACAACCAGGAAATGCATCAGTAAAAATCATTCATATTTCCAGAGAATCTTCCCATAAAGTTTGCACAGGCTTGTAAAAACTAAAAATTCAGGGTTTTTTTAATTGTCAAATAGTATTTTATGAGAAACAGGTTATTGTTAACAGACATGGATTGTATTAGTTATAATATTAAAGATTACAGTATTTGGTTTCCTTGGATACAATTCATTAACTTGCTTTATACTGTACATTTTATATGGATTCTATTCTAAAAGTTAAGTGTTTCTGCATTCCTCCTCCCTAATCACATACATTTTAATATGTTGTATTTTGCTATAATTCTCTTCTGAATGTATTTTATAGAAACCACTTTCATTCTGCAAGCCCTAGTGGGCTGGTCTTACTCAAATTCATCCGCACAGAACTCAACCCAAGGTGGAAAATGTCGACAGCTTATGTGCTACCCGAGAACATTTAAGTAAATAAAAACCCAATAGTTTTATTTAAAAAAACATTTCATAAAGGCCCAATTCACGTACAATGAAAATACCTGGACAAGCTTTTACATTTTCATTTGAGGAAATCCTGGTCTGCACGCCACAACATTTCACAAGCTAAAGTGTGCTAATCAATGGATGATCAGCATTCTGTATGACTTTTACTTGAATCTCTACAGGGTAATTCCTTACTTTAAAAAAATGCAATAACCTCCCTAAGTCAAAGGGCAGTCATTCTCATTGCTTTGAAGTACACAGAAGCATCCTTCTGGTAAAATTGTCAGCACAATTACTCCAATAATTTAAAATGCTGGATTCGTGTGATGGTCCAGTTAGGCTCCACACCTTGTGTAAACTCCCGTCGAAATCTGGAGCACAGAGAAGCAACGTTAGTTACATTTATAAAGGCAATGGAAAGATTCAGCCCAATCCCAAATAGTTCCTCTACATGAATATTTTGTAAATAATAATTTACAAATAATAAATAATAATCCTTGCGTTTGATATAGCGCCTTATCACGTCTTCGAGACATCTTAAAGCAATTCGCAGAATATATTTAGTGAATTGACTGTACATTTTATGGGCAAAACGCAACAGCCAATTGTGCACAGCAGTGTCCCAGAAAACAGTCGTGGATTGAGTGACCAAATAATTATAATTTTTTTCAAGGGTATGTAATCATTACGTTTCCTCTTAAATACATTGATGCTTTCTGCCTCAATCATAGCTTCTGGCATGTTCTATGTTCTCATCACCCTCTGTGAAAAGACATTCTTGCTAAATTCTGTATGGCCCTTCTTAGGGCTCACTGACAAGTGAAAACACATCTATGTTCACCTTACCACGCCTCTTCATTATGTTAAACTTCAATATCATCTCATCTCCAGGAAAAAAAAATCCTCTAACCTGTCCAATCTTTCCTGATAGTTGTATCTGCTCATTCCTGATAACATCCGAATGAATCTATGCCGCCCTCTATCCATTGCCAGAATAAATTTATAGCATGAACCAGAACTGTACATAGTACCCCAAATGTGGTTCAACCAAGGTTTCATACAAAAATAACATTACATGCTTGCTTTTGGATTCTATTCCTCTGGTCATTAAAGCCCAGGAATCCATTTGCATTCTGTGGGGCCTTATCCACCTATGTTGTTAATTTTAGAGATTTATTGAACTGAATCGCCAGATCTCTATGCTCCTCTATCCATCTTAGTTTCTTAACATCAAATATATTATTCCTGAGTACAGCAAAGAATGTTGTAAGATCATCAGGTTCATGTTGCTCAGCACACTAAATAAGTCATCATACTACCACATTTAAACTTGAAAACAGCATTATACACTGAGAAATAAATCACTTATAGAAAACCAATTTTGCTCACATGGGATGGTTGAATAATTGATCAAATTGCCAGAGGTGTAAACGTATGCAGATTACTTATTTCATGTGCAGATTCTTTTGAAATTCTCATCTTAACAATTTTCTTGCTAAGTCCATTCTGCCTTTAGTAATACTGCCCAGTTAAAATCTAATAATGTAAAGCATAGAATTACACTGGTGACCATCCATTCTCTGCTGCTAAACTCTTTTCTAGCCTTCCACTTTTCTCCACCGAACAGTATTTTATTAACAGCTCCAGCTGACACTGGAATAATTGCACTTTCAAGAAACCTGTTAAAATGGCAAATAGTTCTGTGTTTCAGTACTTTCAGCTCTAGTTTTGAGTCAATTGCTCAACATCAGAACATCAGAAGCTTGTGAGTTTCTCAACCTGACTATATCTCAATGCTTCAGATCTGAATTTGCATCTGTCTGGCGATTCAATTTAATAAGTCTCTAAAGTCTTTTAACAGCTCTGTATTGTTTGTGCTTCTGTACTTTTGACATTTACCAATCAAAAGCAATAATAAACCGCACATGCCCCATAACAACTTCTAACCTAGCAACAAAATGAATGCAGACGGAAAACTTACTCATAATTTGCTGTGAGAAGACATTTGCTGTCTTTGCTGTTTTCATCACCAAAGACGACTTGAAACATTTTAGTTCCCTCAGGGGTCTCACTGGGCAGGTCCACGTTGGAAAGATACCAATAGCGCATTAGGATGTGGACAAACTTTCTACCTATTAAAAAGAAATCAATATTTAATGATCAACACAATCTAACTGCATACCAAGCCTCATGATTCCATCTGGTGGTCACAGTAAAAATAACCATTTTCTGACCAATTTCCCTTTTCTCACTATCTTCAGCATAAACAGTTGGCACCTAGTAGCCCATGAGGTGATTGTTGTGTATCTGTGTGGCAAAGTCAATTAAAAGCAGTTCAACTCTGTACAATTTGTGCTTTCAGTCTTGTGATCAGCAATAGAAACAAAACTTCAGCAGGATACCAGTGCCAGTTGCACTTTCTGGGCTGTCCAGCAGATAATTTTATTAAGTGCTCTGAGATGCGACTTCTGTGAAGAGCACAATATCAATTTCACGATGTCATTGGAATCCTGTAGCTTAGTGGTTAGAGCATTCGCCTCGCAAGCGGAGGACCTGGGCTCGATTCTTGGCAGGGTGAAATGTTAGGCAAGTTTCCTTATTCCACACGCCTCTGTTCACCAAGTAGTAGGTAGGAACCCAGTTGTTAGTCAATTGGCAGATCGCTTTTCTGGGGGTAATAATCCCGTCAAAAAAAATAATAATTTGGTCACTTAGTCCACTTAGTCTTAGATTAACAGCAATATAGCATCTGAAGGAACACGGCATCCCATGGCTCCATGATAGTGTAATAATTTCAGGATTCCACTCCTTTTCATCCTTAGCTGTACAGTATCTGGGAATATAAATTATGATATAATCTAATTGTTTGGTATCAGCCTGGCTCAGTTGGTAGCACTCACGCTTCTTGAGTCAGAAGGTTGCAGGTTCAAGCTCCATGTCAGGACTTTCAACTCACAAGTCAAGGATGAAATGCCAATACAGTGCTGAGGTGTGCTACATTGCTGAAGGTGCCATGCTTCAGATGAAACATTAAACCGAGATCACGTACGCCTGTTCAGATGGACGTTAAAGACCCATAACATTATTCAAAATTATTGACTCCCACATTCGCTTACAAAGTACGTAGTCACTACACTTCATAGTAAAATCCTTTGAAGTGATTTGAGACCTCCCAAAAGACACTATATCAAGAGCATGTATTATTTTATTATACAATTATATACAAAAAAATGCAGACATAGCTAAGAAGCATAAAAAGAAACGAACCCTGGTTATCGTAATAAATCCCAACGTCTCCAGGTGTGCTATACATAATTTCCTCCATGTCAGCAGCTAAGGCTTTTCTGCGCTCAATAGGCAATGCTGAACATTTTCCCTCTAATTCTTCTAATGCCTGTGCAAAAAAGAAATGACAATACTGTACATATTGATATAGCTACTGGATTACCATCAGAACAGCTGCCCCAAAGAAACAAATGAAGGAAATATGAATTATATAGTTAGGCACTGTAAATCCTATAAAAAGGGCTTCTTAAAAGTTGGGCTTAATGATCTAATTAATATTTACCATTAAACAGATGTTATAACATTTATGAGTTAATATAGCAAGAGGGGTCACCTCACCAAAGTACTTATGCTGTGAGAATAATTTAAGGGTTAACTTGTACACAAGAGGCTATAAGAAATGTTTGTACCAGTGAAAAAAGCAAATATGCTCAGGAGATTTCTTTAGCAATCAAAGCACAAACATATTTTGCAAACTATGCTTTGATTGTACATTACCTCAATTGATACAAGGCCTTTCAATTCATTAAAGTTGCACTGTGACAGGAGTTTTGACACCTGTGCAAAGGCCTAAGGAAGAAAATTATAAAGTTATACAATGTTTTACTTGGCAAAAAATGATGCCTAAACAGTTTCCAATTAGATCACAAAAATTAAGAAACCAAACTTATTTGCACTGCTTTAAGTTTAACTGTATATCACCTCTCAACCAGCCGGGATTCAGTAGGCANTTTTTTGGATGGAGAAAAGTGTATTTAAGGAACTTTAAGGATTTTATGGTAACAACTACTTGCTTTAGGTAGAAACAGAGTTCTTTCAAACACTTTAAGTACATGATATAGTATGCTAGCACTTTCAAGTGTATCTCTCACTACAAAGCTTCAGTGAGGCTTCAGGTGACAATACTTTACTTCCAGAAAAAGATATGAATAACTCTTTGATGTAGGTACAGGAGAAAAATACTACTCAAAAAATATTCATATGAGACATTACAAAGTAAAACAGCAATTTTCCAGCATATAAACTCTTACTTGTAAGTGGGACAGAGAGACATTCGTGAGTAAACTCAGGAAATACCACTTTAATTTATTCCGATTGAAAACAGATGTCTGTGTTGTGATAGTGAAATGAATCCAATGGACTTCAGCCAATTCAAAAAACATTGATGATAGTTATTCTGTGTAAAATTAATAAATAACTCGCCCAAGATAGAAAAGAAAAGGAATTTAAAACCTTTGAATCTTTAAACAAAAAGAAATCCTATTTCTATCGACCCCAACAAAGAAACGTTCTGGCCATTTTACTGAACCTGAGATTGGTTAACCATAACACCTTCACGGCACAAGAAATTTTGCATTACTTATTATAACTTATCATTATCATCACTACAACGTGGAGATTTTGTTTTATTCAGATTTGGACCCAGCCTATGGAAACATGTGTTTCCCTCCACATTCACTCATTCTGTACATACTCAGAGAAAGTTAAATAGTTTAAATGTTAACTTTTCTTTTGCTTTCACGTCTTGGTTCTGTATTAAATGGTTTTGTATTAAAGTGATTAGTGTGCTCGCCTTGTAAGCGAGAGGATGCAGGTTTGATTCCCGGACACGGCAAAACCTTAGACAAGTTTCCTACTCCACTTTCCGGTCTGTTTATCTAGGAGTAAGTAGGAACCGGGTTTTTACTCCATTGGTGGATCTTTTTCTGTGGGTAATAATCTCTCCAAAAATATTCACAATATTTTGTGGGACACTGCTGTGCGCAATTAGCTGCTGCGTTTCGCCCACAAAATAAACCAAGTCAAACAAGTCAATCCCCTTGCAATATATTCTGTGCAGCGCTTTGAGACGTCTCAACCATGTGATAAGACGCTGTATCAAATGCAAGGGTTATTACAACAACAACAACAACTTGGATTTATATAGTGCCCTCCACACCGGGTGGCGTCTCAGAGCTCTTTACAGTAACGGATCCCGGAGCCGAGCCGGGGGGAGGGGGAGGAAGGTGACCAAAGGCGCGGTAGAAAAGAAAGGTCTTCAGCAGAGACCTGAAAATGGGAAGGGAGGGGACGAGACGAAGGGAGTGAGGAGGGCAGTTCCAGAGCCTCGGAGTGTAGTGGTTGAAGGCACAGCCGTCGAGGGTGGAGCGGAGGACTCGGGGGACTCGGACGAGGCCAGACCCGGAGGAACGAAGGCAACGGGTACTGTTTTGAGGAGAGAGGAGGTCAGTGAGGTGGGTGGTCGGGGGGTGAGGGGGGGGGGGTTGCAGAGGAGTGCAGGGACTTGAATACAAGGGTGAGGATCTTGATATCGACGAAATATTATCCACCTGTTTAGCGCCATCAGCGAATTCGTCGAAGTTAAACTCGTGATCGAAATAGGATCGAATCAGGAAGAAGTACATTTTGGTCCTGGCCCAGATGAAGGGGTTGGGGATGCCCACGACCACCACCTTCTTCGGCCCGCGCTGATGAGGGCTGCGCTCGGTGCTGTAAGCTCTCCCCCGGGAGCGCGGCGTCAAAGCGGGGAGCCAGGTCGGCCGCGGCCGGGGGGAGAGGGCCTGCGGGCACGGCCGGAGCGCCCGGCCGACCGCGGAGGCGGTCAGGCGGGTTCTGTGCGCCGCGGAGACGGTGAAGAAGCCGAGCTGACAGCTCCTGGTGGGCAGCGCCATCTTGCCGCTGACCCCTGACCCTCGGCTGCCCTCGCGCCGCAACTGATTGGTCAGAGGGGCGGCATCCGGGTACCGGGTACCGCGTGACCCGCCCCCCCCCCCCCGGCCCTGCCCCGCCCACCCCCCCTCCCCCCCCACGTCCTGGCGACCGTTGGGCGGCCGTTGGTGATGAGCGCGAGGATGAGGCGGCGCGTGGCCGAGCACCGCGGGGTTAGCGGCAGCAGCGACTTCTTACAGCGAGTCTCCCCGCTGGTAAGAGAGGAGAGAGACCCCATCACCGCCCTCACCACCACACACCCACATGCCGCTGCACCTACACAGCTTCATAATAATAATAATAATAATCCTCGCATTTGATATAGCGCTTTTCACGTCGGGAGGACGTCCCAAAGCGCTTCACAGAACACACTGTAAAGTGAATTGACTGTATATTTGTGGGCGAACGCGGCAGCCAATTGCGCACAGCAATGTCCCACAAACAGTCGTAGATTGAAAATGACCAATTTATTATTGTTTTTGGTTTTGGAGGGACTATTATTAGGCTCTGTGTGGAGTAAGGAAACTTGCCCAAGGTTTCACCCTCTGCCTGGGATTGAACTCAGGTCTCTCACTTGCAAAGCGAGTGCTCTAACCACTGAACTACAGGACTCCACCTCCACCTACAGCTTCCCCTCACAGCGCGTCTGTCCCACTGGGAATAAAAATAATAACAATTAATATGATAATCATAATAATAATCCTTGTATTTCGATGTAACTAAAACCCCTGATCACGTCGTGGAGACCAAGGGGCGGCCGCGTGAACACAAGTTCATAGGGATTTACGCAGCGCAGCGCAGGAGGAGGGCGCGAGGCCCGGCAAGTTGTGGCGGTTGAGACGTCTCGAAGCGCCCCACGGAATATACCGCCGAGTGAATTGACTGCGGATTTTGTGGGTGAAGCGCGGCAGCCGGTCGTGCCCAGCAGTGCCCCCCACCCCAAACAGACGTGAATTATTGACTACATTTTTGTTTTTTGAGTAGATTGTTACCCCCCCCCTCCCCCCTAGAAAGCGATCCGCCAACCGCCAACTGGGTTCCTACTTATTGCTGGATAAACAGGCGTGAGGAACAGGAGTAAGGAAACCTGCCTAACAATAATAATAATAATAATCTTTGCATTTGATATAGCGCTTTTCACGTCGGGAGGACGTCCCAAAGCGCTTCACAGAACACACTGTAAAGTGAATTGACTGTATATTTGTGGGCGAACGCGGCAGCCAATTGCGCACAGCAATGTCCCACAGACAGTCGTAGATTGAAAATGACCAATTTATTATTGGTTTTGGTTTTGGAGGGATTATTATTAGGCGTGTGGAGTAAGGAAACTTGCCCAAGGTTTCGCCCTTCCTGGAATTGAACTCAGGTCTCTCGCTTGCAAAGCGAGTGCTCTAACCACTGAGCTACAGGACTCCACAAAGGCTTCGCCCGCCTGGGAATCGAACCCAGGGCCTCTCGCCTGCGAGGCGAGTGCTCTCACATATAACGAAACGGGACTCCAACGAGCTTCACAGGATATACTCTACGTACAACGTGGATTGACTGTATATTTTGTGGTAAGAGAGGAGAGCTTACACACAGCGAGTCTCACTGCTGGTTAGAGAGCACAGCATTGATTCACAGCCTTTAAACCACTCCTGGGGCTGGGGGCTGACATGCGGGGGTGGCAGTGGCTCACAGACTTGAGAAACTGATATTAAACTGTATATCGTATTTATTTTGGCAGGACAAAACGTTGGGCAAGTTTCCCTACTCCACACACACGCCTCTGTTTACCTCGTAGTAAATAAGAATCCACTTGTTAATTAATTGGCAGATCGCTTTTCCAGGGGTAATAATAATTCCTTTAAAAAAATTGGTCACTTCAATCCACAACTGTTTGTGGGACACTGCTGTGCGCAATTGGCTGCCTCGTTTCGTTCGCAAAGCACAGACACTACACTTTACAGTGTATCCTGTGAAGCGTTTTGAGATGTCTCAATGGTGTGATAAGGCGCTACATCAAATTATTATTATTTGCGTTCAACATTCACAAAATAAAAAAAGTCGTACCTCATATTTGCTTCTATTTTCCAACAAAAATTACAAAATGATTCTCTTTGAGGTAATAATAATATGTGCATTTGATACAGTGCCTTATCATGTCATCGAGACATCACTGGATATTCTGTAAAGTGGTTTGTGAATTTGTGGGTACATAGAAACCAGAGTTTGAAAAGGGAAACCTGAGGATTTTGTGAAATATGTTACATAATCTGAATGTGATATCTTGGTTTTAGTTGATACTGATACTTAGATTAGTGTTAAAATACATATGAAGCCATCTGTAGTCAATTTAAAAGAATCTGCCTCCAAATCTGTAACACCAGCATATTGGATGCGGTGATATTGATACTAAAAAACAGGCACAACAGTACATCAACTGCAGCATACACAGAATGTGATTTTTTTTCTAATTGAGAGAGAAATATAGATTAAGGGCCAATGTCCAAATTGTTGACCAGCAACAAGTTGAAAAGAATAGAAAAGAAAAACACGAGGTAAACAGAAAAGTAGTGATGTAAACAGAGGGGATTTAATCATAGGCTTTTATGCAATTGAACACGCTTGTAATCTCAGGTGTGATCTGTGACACAATCGTGACAGTAGTTGTGTCTCTGCATACAAAAGTATTTTACTATGGCAGTACCATAGCGTTTGGACAAAATTTATCAGCAGAGCTTTAATGGATTTACTGCTGTGTGACATGCAATGCAACAATTAGTTATACCAGCAGAGGGTGCTCAGAATCTTTTGATGTGGTGTAGAATATTAGTGTTATTGTTTCAACAACAACAGCAAATTACATTTGTACAGTGGCTTTCACATCAGAAGGGTGTCCCAGGCAAAAAGACAAACAAAAGTATTTTTTTTTAAAAATTGTACAATGCACTTTGTAACATTTTCATTTCTTTGTAAGATTTATATAAAAGAAGACTAGGTAACTATCCCTTTGCTTGCACCTTTTCTCCCTGTGGGTGAGCAACTGGGCCACACACTGCTATCTAGCCAGGGTTCAGAACTAACTTGATGGGGAACCATAACTTGATTGGGATCTCTGCAATAAATTTATTTTGAGTAAACTTTATTCATTGTTGCAGGGTGCAGATTACCAATCAATGCATCTAATCTGTTTGACAGATGTATTCCTGGTGCCTTTAGATGTGTTCCTGGGACCCTTGCAGTCATGGAGCCATTTCAAATCTATTTGGCCCATCATGCCTGTGCTGTGCTAGACACCCCAAGTGGAGTTACCTACTCTTAATTTCATTTCCTACTTTTATATCTTTAATATAAGAAAAGCTTTTAACCATTTTTATGAATCTAGTAATCAGCATTGAATTCTAGTTGTGAATCATGTTGGCAATTCACTACCGATAATCGTTTTCTATTACCCTCTTAAACCAGCCATAATTTTAAACATATATTAGATCTCCTCCTATCCATTTCTGCTCTGCTAGCTGCAGTCCTAATTTTTAAACCTTACGTCATAACTACAGTGTATCATCCTACCCTTGTTATCATCTCGGTCAGTCTATCGTGTACTGTCCTTGTTGATTAATATTGAAAAAATATTTTGCCTCACAAGCAAGACATAGGATCTGAATTCAATATGTATGTGCAGTGCTTATTTGTGGAGTCTTCATATTGTTTATGAACGATAACAAATGTGAGGACGAGGGTTTTTAATCATTGGATTGGCCTTTCTAATTTATAATACAGGATATTTTGTGTAAAGCAATTTTGAGATGAGACACTATGCTGGAATCTGCCTTGTGAACAATCCGGCTTTTCCGAATGCAAAAGTTAAATTAAATTGTGTAGGGGCATTGGGAACCCACACAGCAGAAAGTTTAGGTCAACATTTAACGGCCAATTATTTTGGAATTAAAAGTTTCAGGAAAAGTAATATCCTTAGTTCATTTTCGATAAAGTTTGACTTAAAGGTGATATTAAGAAATGATAAGGTGCGAATATTTAAACCAGCTTTCCCAAGTGTGTGGATCAAAGAGATGGGTTTAATATATTCGGGTTTATTCTGCTGTTATTGAGCCGTGTTCAGCTGGAGAATGTTCAAATATGAAAGTCATTAGCCTGTATAATTTTAGAGAGATGGCTGATGCCATTTAGCACTACTCAGGAAAGAGCCCTGAAACGTCAGGAAAGTGAATGCTTGCTGCAAAGATAAATAGTGGCTGTTTTAAAGTATTTTAACGGTCTTTACATTCAGTTTTAGTTGATAGTTTTATTATTCAGTATTAAAATCCTGTGCTTAGTATATACACATCACTTTGCTCAGACCCACTGTTGTTTCAATACCTTTGATGGGGGTTAACCTTGTTCATTGACCTAGACATGTTAGAACAAAGTCTCCATGTCAAAGCCACTTTGCTTTTATAGGGGTCTGTTCAGCCTGTTTTGAATTATTTAATGTGCAGTTCAATTACAGAATGCTACCGTGTGATAGAACTGTTGTATATTGGAGACATTTATCTTAAATTAAGATTTTTAAAATATTTCCTGGCATACTTTTTTAATTGTACTTATAACTGGTATTTGTCAATGTATCTAAAGAAAGGCAAATACACAAGTATGAGGAAAAAAATAGTCATTTGGGTTTGTAATTATTGCAGAAAATAACCTGCATTAATATCTTCGAGCCACATGTCTGCTCACAAACATTTTGCCGTGGTTGAGGAATATATAGACAGTTAACTGTGGAAAGATGACTTCAAATTGTGTTATAAAGCAAATAATCCAATTTAGGAATAACCAAAGGTCACCTTTTGATTTTTTTGAGCACAAGCCTTGGAGAGTATTTACACCAACATCATTATGGCTGTGTCTCTAGGTACTTGTAAAATTTAAATCATGGCTGAAAACAAAAATTTTCACTAATTGAATTTTGTTAGCAACGAGGAGGGAAATAACCACTTGCAATATCCTGGGCAAAATTCCACCCCACACCTAAACCAAGTTACAGCAGGGATAATGTATTTAAAATTATAAAATAATGCTTTAGCTATCAAGCACATACATATAATAAGTCTTTAATTTGAACTGTAAACACCAAAAACATTGTGGATATCTGTTAATTTCTCTATTGTTTTGCTATTAATCTGCTATGGATTGACAATCTTCATTCACCTAGTTAAAGAAAGATTTTCTTCTTGACATCTTTAATCGCTGGGGAACAATATTGTTCAAGCTATTGATGTCATAGGTCATGTTGAAATGTGCACCTAGGAACAGAATAGTGGATGGAACAGTCACTTTTGATGAAGCATTTGTTGATTTTTCTTACTCCCTTTCATCCTGGGTGTTCCTACTGATCTAAACAGTAAGAGTGATGCAGGAAATTAGACTTATACTGATTTATTTTATTAATGGCCATCGATAATCTGAAATCTGGGATTCTTCCTTATTGTTGCAGAATTTCACAATTAACATCCTTGTACTTTTATACCATTACAGTGTTAGGCTGGATGTATCAATGGTTACTTCTACCTTTAACTGTTATATTGTTAGAATGCTTAAGGTATTTAGAAGCATAAAGAAAAGCATAATCCAAGGTTCGCTATATGTTACAATGGGAGCAATCCATAGTCCTATAATTTTGAGCTATCCTGGACAAACGAGGTACAGTACACATTTACTTACATATGGCACTTTTCGCATCAGGAGGATGTCCCAAGGCACAGGGCATTACTATATGCAGAGAAACTAGAGCATGGCAGGTTTGTTAGTATAGTATTTAAGCTTTTGTTTTGTAAACCACAGAGAAAACCAGCAGTTCTTAAAGACATTCCCCTCGGCACATGCATCTCAAAATGGACAGCGGATTACCTCAGCACACATGGAGGAAGTCAAGAGGTCAAGATCCATGCATCACCAGTGGCACAATTGGATTTTATCAATAAAAACTTTATTTACAGGTACTTACTTACAACTTTTTTTGTTTTACCTGAACTTACTGTACTTTTTGTTTTAGGTGTTCCAACTAGTTTGATGGAATTCAAACTAAACTATTAAACCTGGCAATTTTAAAATTAATTGTGTTTTCTGGGAGTTCAAACAAATTGCTATATTCTCAAATGAGGATGTCAGTTCCTTGGCTAGTTCTCATCTGCCTTACTGGAATTTTTCAAAAATAAGCAGTGAATATAAGTATTGTTAATAAATGCCATTAATATATTTGGGACATTTAGCCATTGCATTGATTTGCTGCAGTTGTTTATAGTTTTTAATTTTATACTTTATCTTGTTTCATTGAACAAGTTCTTGTTTCCAGAACTTTGCCATTTGATACGTTTGTCAAGCGTGCTGCTGAGACACAGCATACTGAGTACTTCATATCCCAGGTAATTCTGTAACTTTTTTAAGCTGTGTCCTTGAAGTGTTAGTTCACTACAATAACTCATCAGCTGCATTTATAGGTTAAATGATGTTTTACTATGGATAGATATTTGGGGAGAAAGAAGATTAAGGGATATGAAGAACCGCAGGAAAATGTGATTGAAAGATCTGCCATGATCTTGTAAAATGGAAGAACAGGCACAGTGGACTGATGGATCTGAGTTTTTTTTTGATCCCAATCACTCTGCCTCGCCCCCTCCTTAGCCTCCTTCAAGTTCCACCTCAAAACCCTCCTCTTTGACCAAGCCATCGGTCACCCCCCCCACTTCCCCTCCCCTCCCTTCTCCCTCCCTGACCCCAGCTACTTAAATTAATTAAATTAAATAAATTAATTTAATTGGGACAACCTCCCAATGTGAAAGGATCTATACAAATCCATTCATTCCCTGGCACTTCCCTACCTCTCCAACCTCCTCACTCCCCAATCCACCACCCGTGTCTCTGCTTGACTGGCACCGGCCTCCTGCTTGTCCCTCCCATCCTCTGCCTCACCATCGGAGGTCGTGTTTTAGGCCACTATGCTCCCAAACTCTGGAACACTTTCCCTCAATCCCTCCACCTTACCCCCCTCCCCTTTTTCCTCTTCGACTGTGCTTACGGCCACCTTACACACCCGGCTCAGAGTCAGTCTCTGACACTGTTAAGCGTTCTGAGATGCTTCCCTGCATGGAAGGCGCTATATAAGTGCAAGTTGTTGTTGATGTAAAATCCATTTAAACACACATTAAATGTAACAGTTATTTCGTGCTCTATTATTCTTGGAATCAAAATAAACCTGTGACTCCACTGGTTCCATATCAGTGCAAATTTATTTGACACCTATTTGTTCTGTCCATGACCACTTTTTCTAATGTTGCTTTGATAATTCAGCAGGGAGGTGCAATGGAAAGTGCAAGACTGTAAAGCAGCTTCTGCCTGAACTTTGAGATAACTTTAACTGCATGAAACTTTAATGACTCCTGTAACTCGCACAGATGCAAGCGTTGAGCACCCTTATGACTGATGTGATGATGTTGTGTACTTAGGATGAGAAATATTACCTACGGTCGCTAGGAGAAGACCCACGGAGGGTGAGTGACTGAGCAATCACACGTAAGGCACATAAGCTTTTGTATCACAATCCACATGCATAGGTTTAGCAAGGGAATTTAAGCAGAACAACTGATCAATGCTCATGTGTTGTTGACCTACATAATTTTGATTAAATCTCATTAAATGGGCTCATACTGCAGTTAGTTAAGATGCTTGCAATGATTCATATGTATTGTGCAGATCACTCACATTTCTTTGAATCGAGATTAAATGCAGCAATTAGACTGTACAATCAGGGAGGTGTTCAAAAGTCAGCAGTAATTCATCTGTAGCTCAGTGGTTAGAGCACTCGCTTTGCAAGCGAGAGACCTGAGTTCAATTCCAGGCAGGGCGAAACCTTGGGCAAGTTTCCTTACTCCACACGCCTAATAATAATCCCTCCAAAAACCCAAAACAATAATAAATTGGTCATTTTCAATCTACGACTGTTTGTGGGACATTGCTGTGCGCAATTGGCTGCCGCGTTTGCCCACAAATATACAGTCAATTCACTTTACAGTGTGTTCTGTGAAGCGCTTTGGGACGTCCTCCCGACGTGAAAAGCGCTATATCAAATGCAAGGATTATTATTATTATCTGCTTTTATTAAAAGATGCATGCTTCAAATACAGTGTAAAGAAATATAGAGTTTAGGTCTTTTATTTGTTGTTTTAAGGATAGTGTCTAAATACAAAATATTTACAGGGGCATTCATCTTTATACTCCAGTCCACTTTCCTTCATTACACAACATTTAGTCTAAAAACAATTGAAATGTATTTCAAAGACTGAATGTAATTGCTGACTTTTGAAGTAAAATGAACCTTAAGAAGAGCAAAGGTTCTAAAATATACTTAGGGAGATTGGAAAGCAGAGAATCCAAAAGCTTTAGAAGTGACTTTGTAAGTGGAGATAGTAGGTTATGGTTTTACATAACATAACATAACATAACATAACATGAAATGTGAGTACCTTTTAGAAAAATCTTTTGACCTAAAGTATCAAACACATGTCTGTTTCCATTTTCTTTTCTCAACCTGAAACAGACTAGTGTTTGAAACAGCAATTAGTTTGGCCTGCTTTAATGTTTTACAGAATGCAATAGCTAGATTTACTCCTTTTTAGGTTGGGAAGATTAGAAATGTTTCAGCTGATTTAAGGGCTGATTTTATGGTAATCTTGAGAAAGAGGAAGTAATTGTCACTGGAGAAGAGTAGCACTTTTATATGTTTCTTTTCCACCTGCCAAATAAAGTCCTTCACAAGTCCCTCATGCTTAAGATAAATGTTTTGATTGCAAGATTGTTCTTGTCAGTATAATATTATATTGGAAGCTTAACTGTTACTGTTTGACTACTTTCTTTAAATTTTATTGTGAAGCATCTCTTGTATATATCATGTACAGAGTGACTCACAGACACAAGATCTTATTGATCACCATAAAATAAAACCGCACCGTGTCATATGTGGAGAGATTTACGCTGCCCACGGGAGCATTTTGTTAACAAATAAATGCTGGTTTGTGCCACTGAAAGGATTAAAGGAGCAGTTTTTCACTGAGAACGTTTTTATGATCAACATTAAAAAGATTAAAGGAAAATTAAGTTATAACAGTTAAGGTTTATTTGGAACGGAGTGTTTCAGTAAAGACAATGCATTGGCCCTTTTATTCTGAATTTCTTTGCAAAATATAATACAACCATGCTTTTTGTTGCATAATATCTGATGAAAATTTCAGTTTTTCCTGAAAGTGTAGAAGATAAAGGGGCAATTTGTCTATCAATCCAAGTCCTCCATGAAGAATAACGACTTGCATTATGCAGCAGCATTGTATCAAAGAACACCCAAAAGTGCTCAACAAAGGGAGCAGCAAAGAGTGAGCAAGAAGTGGGAGTCCACATACAATGCACTTCCATGGACCTACCCAACCCAAACTATTTAGTCTCCAGCAAAAGGTTCTGCTAATCTTTTCACTTTCCACACCCAAAATCACAGATTATCTGTCTAAATTTATATTCTGTGTTATGATGTATCCTTCATAGTCAGGAGATTTCTCTGTTTCAGCAGATCATATTCCACACAATGCTGCATTATCTCTAAATTTCCTTATCCTTAGTTATATTCCTGATAAATCCATCTCTTCGTTTGAGTGTGAATCTGCACACAATTGACTGCTTTAATTGTTCCAAATTTCCACTGTGCAAGGGAAAAGAACATACTTCCCCATTTCATGAATTCCAGTAGATCAACAAAGTTGTTGTGACTGGAACATAGTTTTCAGAGAGAAATCAGCAATTTAGCAAAGTAATTTTATTTAATATATTTTCTCCTGTTGTTGTTATCCTTAGAGACATGTAAATGATTGACTTGGAAATTGTTTTTTATGAATGTGTCTATTTATATCTAAAATGACAACATTTCAGGTTTTCAATTCAGTCCCAGACAGATCAAATCATGTCATGAACAGAATTGAACTGTGATACAAGTTGATAATGATTTTATTAGATTTGTCAGGCTGTCACATCATCCTCAGTCACATGTATGGTTCTGTTTGTTATTTAAGACCTGCTTTGACAATCACTGGTTCAATTTTAATACACTGAAGAGCTTAGTAAAATGACGATTTTTAAATTAATTGCAGTTTGTAAAAGTGAAGAACTCTTTAAGTTCAGTATAACTCATTAAGGGCTGGATTAAACTTAGTGCACTTTAATAGTATGTACATTAATGGAACTTGTCACATTCCCTAATTGTGCTAAATGTACAGCCTCCTAAGCATCTAGTTCTATACCTACAGAATAGAAACAGCAGGAGGGGGAACACATGATGGGAAATAGCACGACTTTAACGATCACATCTTATTGTGACATTGCATTGAAAGTTGTTTTATATTAGCTGTGTTTGGTAATGTTTTATTATGAATCACAGAGAAAAAGCTGATGACCTCTTTCTTTACTAATTTAAAACAGGATATTGCTGACATCAAAAAGCAATTCCCATCTCTGGCCGAAGATATTGAAATCCCGGAATTCTTTGAGGAGAATCAGTTTTTCTCCAGTGTTTTTCGAATCACCTCACCGGGTTTGCAGCTGTGGACACATTATGATGTATGTAACATGACTACATCAGATGCCTCAATTTGCTTGAAAGTTTGAAAAGCACTCCTCCAGAACTCTATTAAAAAAAACACATATAAAAGTTGATTCTCACTGCATCAAGTTCTTAGTACAGTTAACAAATGAGTATATGAATGCAATTCTGTCAATCATTTGCTCCATAGAAAATTTCCAGAGTTTTCTCAAACTTAAGGTGAAGCTTTAGAGGTAAAATAAGCTAAAACTTCTTAGGCTTGGGCGCTGGTATGAATATGATTCCCACTCGGTCAACAGCAATGAATGACAGCACTGATAGAACAGGGTGGCATTTACTTGCTTACTTTAAGTGATGATCGGGAATAGATTTTAATTGCAGGGTGTCTGTGACTGTTGATTAAAGGAAGTATATCCAATCTAGATCAGCATTAAGTCATCACCAATGTTTAATGGCTTCTGGCTGATTGTTGGTCATGCCAACCCTACATTCATCTGGCTTGCTACACAGCCCAAAACATTCTAACAGGCAGGATATCTTTTCATAAAAAACATCATATGGTAGGGGTGGAATGGAGAAGTGTTTTGCTTTAAAAAATATCTCCTTCTTTCCTGCTCCAATTTAATGATGTGTTGCTTATGTCCAGGTGAGTTTTGGAAATTCAATTTAAATATAATTTTGGGGGATACTTATTAGATTTTGTCTTCAATGTTTTTGTAATCATAGAAACTCAATAATGCTGTTAAGATTAGGAAACCACAAATGAGAGATGAATGAATCATCATGCCCTTTGCTGCATCTATCACGTTCAGCTGATTATGTCACATAGCCACACATCTCCCTAGGGAGTTTTGTGAGTTAACACTCATCTTCCCTTATATTATTAATGAATGGTACAAGAGGTGGACTAAATTCAGTAAAAAGCAAATAAATGCCCTTTACTACATCATAAAAACAGTGACATTATTGAAGCTTTGATGTTTCAAGCAAGAGAGCAAGATGAAGGTATTGGGTATGGTTTTATCAATTGTACTGTGAGAAAAGGAAAAGCATTCATCCCATCAAATTAAATTTGAATTTTCCAGAAATTATTGCAAAACCTAGTCCTCCTCATTAATATTCCTTCTTGGTAGCTCAGGAGAAGATTATTTTTGCATTGTTTTAAAATTGTGCACAAATAAAAACGTCAACTCTTCATGTAAGCTCCAGACGTGATGGTGAAAACACAATATAATTCAATATGACTAGCTTTGATTTGCAGAGACCTTCTGATAATTTTAGCTGCAATGTCTCTGAACAAAAAAATTGATGAATCAATTATATTTAGAATTTAAAAAATTGTAATTAGCGGTTGACATATTTTCACCCATGAAATCGGATTTAAGCAAGTCTACTTAAAAGACATTAGCAATTCTAAATTTTAAGACAACGTAAAGAACTTTGATTTATATTAATTGTGTCAACCAGGCAACAACATTTGTTAACTTGTGTAGGACCATTCCTTTTCTTTGTCTATGAGCTATAACGTTTCATGGGAGCTTCTGAACATTTTTGAGTGGCAGATCTTTCACCACTCATGACCAACAAGAGAACACAACAGCAGCAATTTACATTTAAACAGCATCTTTCTTTGGGGGAGAACTGTCAAAGCACAGCTGACTGGGAGCCTGAGCTCAGGAAGAAACTGGGTTGGGGGAAGATTGCCGACAGCTTGTGATTCAAAGCATCTTTATGAAGGTCAAACATTGTTTTTGTGGTTATCACTCTTCCCCCAGCATGTCCAACTTGTTTTCAGAAAATTTGTTTTTTTTCCCATTTTTTGGGGATGTTCTCTGTGATGCTCTGTGATGTGTGGGTGCTATATAAATGCAAGTTGTTGTTGATTGCACCAGATTGCTAATTTCTGTGAAATTGCACCATTAACTTATCGATTTGACTTCATACGATGTCAATGATGTGCAATTGAAGTTTTAATAAGCAACAGTTTTCGCAGTGTTTTATTTATAAACTTCCGAGATAATTGTGCTGTTTTTAAAAAAAAGGTCATTCATCTCATAACTGTTGGTGAGGCATTTCTGTGCAAAACTTGACATCCAAGTTCACCTATAAATCCAAATAGATACTCACTATACTTCACAGAAATCTCTGAAGCGCCTTGAGATGTTTCAATATGATAAGGCTATATCAAACAATTATTTTATTATTTGTCTCCACAGGTTATGGATAACCTACTGATCCAGGTAACTGGAAGAAAACGGGTGGTGCTTTTCAGCCCTCGGGATGCACCTTACTTGTATCTAACAGGTAAAGATGATAGCAGGAGATGATGGAAGATGATGGTTGTGAAAATGGGGTATTTCCAAAAATTAGTAAGAGGGTGCGTGTCAGGCTGACACACTTCCTGATTCCTGTTCCAATACAATTTCCTTCTGTGGTGGGCTGGGGATCTGAACTGAATTCCTGTAGATTGGTGCAGTGCACCTCCGCTTGTCTGCCTAAAGACTCCTTGTGGGGAATACATTTTCAATTACACTGTAACTTACCAAATCCTATTAGAGACTGTTCTACATCTTATTCAAGTAAAAATTATTAAGCATAATTTAAATAACTTTTTGTAAAGCCACAAAGATTACTAATTGTGGAGGCATAGTGTGAGATAATTAGCTGTGTCTGTTAAGTGATCGGTGAATATTAATACAGAAGCAGGAGTTAAATTAAATCCAAGTGTTTAATGTTACTGTTGACCCATTTGCTTTCTAGGCACATGTTTTCTCAAGATTTAATTGATTTAATTATCTCTTACCTTTAAGTGACCAAAAGGGCTGAAGTAATAATAATAATAATAATAATAATAATAATAATAATCCTTGCATTTGATATAGCGCTTTTCACGTCGGGAGGACGTCCCAAAGCGCTTCACAGAACACACTGTAAAGTGAATTGACTGTATATTTGTGGGCGAACGCGGCAGCCAATTGCGCACAGCAATGTCCCACAAACAGTCGTAGATTGAAAATGACCAATTTAATTATTGTTTTTGGTTTTGGAGGGATTATTATTAGGCGTGTGGAGTAAGGAAACTTGCCCAAGGTTTCGCCCTCTGCCTGGAATTGAACTCAGGTCTCTCACTTGCAAAGCGAGTGCTCTAACCACTGAGCTACAGGACTCCACGAATCAGTCCTATATGTGCATATGATATACTAGCCATACCCGTTGCAGCTATGCTTGCAGCCAAACGATCCATATGGAATGTAGATTTCAGTATTAATATAGTTTATATTAGATTATTATACTTTATATAAGACTTTTCCGATGAAGTATAAATCATATATAATAATAATATAATATATATATAAATCATGTCTCTATGTCAATTGGTTATTACAGTATTGACTGGCAAATGCACAGACAGGCATAGATGTATCTCTCCAGAAGAGATTTCCTCTGTCGCTACTTTGTTGCAGAATATCATGCATACCTCATATTTTGGGGCTTAATTAAAACATTTTTTAAATATAGCTCATAGGAACAGGAGGAGGCCATTCAGCCTTTTGAGCCTGTTCTGCCATTTAATTAGATCATGGCTGATATTCACCTCAATTAATCCTTTCAATTCCAATTTCCCACTTTCTCCCCATATCCCTTAATACCCTGACCTACCAAACTTCAACGATAGGAGATCCCCGAAAAAATATGCCCATACACTCCCCCATGCAAGAGCTTTCCGATGAGGTATAAATCATGTCTCTACTTTAATCGATTATTGTGTTCTTGGCAGACACACAAACATTTTGTCTTTATTAGTATAGATATATACGTGAATTTGTATGTAAACACAATGTGATATGAACAGCTCATCGCTCTTGCTTTGATGGATTGTTGTAATTTATTTTTGTCTTGCATTCTGATTATTTTCTTCAACTTTGTATAGGTGATAAATCTCAAGTTCTGGACATAGACAATCCTGACCTGAGCAAGTACCCAGAATTTGCAAAAGCCCAAAGTTATGAATGTCATCTGGAACCAGGCGATGTGCTTTTCATTCCAGGTAATTGCTGGAATTTGAGGGCAACAGTAGCATTTCTTTACCAAAGTAATTTTAAGTTTTTACTTATTTGGTGAACACTAAATTCTCCACTGTGGTTCCATGCATTGATCAAATTGTACCGCACATCTTCAGCATTGAAAGGTTACAAAATTGTTTGCATCAACATAAGGCATTCAATATCTGGTAGTGAAATATTCTTTACACAATACAACAGGGGTGTGTGTGTTTTAAGGTTACAACAGCACATTGTAATGGAAGTACAAGCCGATCTATTTATTCAGTGCTTAGTGTAGTTCTCAGCACTGTGGTGCAAACATTTGTCCTTTTTTGTCAGTTCTAATCACGACTGGCATCACAGGATTTCTGGAGGGAATCTTCATCTCGAAGATTACCATGAAAGTACATTTCCAGTAACATTTTAAGCTCATAAAAGCAGCTGTAAAGGCTCAGTAGCTGCGAGATGCTCCATTGCTTTTAATAAAGCAGCAGGGGCTGCTGGGGGGTGAGATTGATTGAAAGTCACATCACATTACAGCACTGAACCTCAACCAAGAAATATCATGAATACTGCACTCCCCACCCCCACAAAAAAACAGCCTTCGCTTATCCTTCCCCCTACTTCCTGAAAAAAAAATTTGCTTTGAATTTTCTGCGTCCCAGCAAAAAGTTTTTCTATCTGCAGGCTTCCATGTTGGACACTGAATATCATTTGGGAGCCAGGTTTAATGCACAATATTGTGGTCATGTAACCAAATCAAGATTTATCAATTTATTGGTCTACCCTGGTGGACGATCAACAACTACTTGTGAAATAAATGTCTCAATTTATATTGGCTCATTCGTTTGCAATATGCAAATTGTCCTCCAAAAACACTTTGTAAAAATCATCCCAACCTATTGAAATGTGTCTTAATTGTTGTGAATGTTCTTTTCCTCGCAGCACTGTGGTTTCACAACACTGTCGCTGAAGAATTCAGTGTGGGAGTCAATGTATTTTGGAAACATCTTCCAGCAGATTGCTATGATAAAACAGACATGTATGGAAATAAGGATCCCACAGCAGCCTCAAGAGCCATACAGATTTTAGACCGAGCCCTGAAAACATTGGAAGAACTTCCTGAAGAATACAGAGACTTTTATGCACGTCGAATGGTTCTACGAATTCAGAGCAAGTCATATAGCAATAATTATGAGTAGTAACTGTATCCTTCTGTTGATCAATTCATAAATAATGATACATGTATGGTATATTTATTCAGTTTCAGAAGTAAAATGATCAATTGCATCCATTAAAATAATTTGTGATTTTCTACAAATTGACATTTTAAATGATCGTATTAACCTAGTGGCACATTAACAATAAGTTAGTATTTCAAACGCAGGAGAATGTTTAGATTTTTCTTTATAATGCTCCTTTAGCGAATTATTCCACTAATGTTGCTTTTAATCAAAGCACCATTAAAACAATTGAAGTTGGTCTTGCAGTAATCTCATATAGTGTCTTAATACTATGTCATGCACAGTCATTAGTGAAGTCTCGTGGTACACATTTCAAATGATGTATAAAATTGCCCAATTTTGTTCTGGATGTAAATGGCAGTTTTACAAATTTTATAAATGGAAAGTAATACCTAATTAAGAGAATTTTGGAATGATGAAATCTATTTGGTGCCTGTAGCTTAATAGAGGGATTTGACAATGCTGTAAAGTTCTATAAATAAGTGTTCTATAAAGAATAAAATAAAACATTGCTCGTGACCTTGATCCAGCTTTTTAATTCATTGACACACACATAACAGCGAGCATTTTATCCAAAAGACAAAAATAGTTTGAAGTGCCATTCAGCTCCGCTTATGATTTAATAAGGTTCTTACTGTTTTATTACTTTTGTTTGTAAGTTATGAGGACTGTCATGATTACATCCAGTGTATGGAATACAAGATGCAGCTTACGTGCTGTAGACTGAACCACAGGAAGAGGCTTGTGCATGATCTTGGGAATTAGTTCTGAGGACTGAATTGTGCTGGGCTGTTCTGCTGAGTTTCCCCACCATGTTGGGGTCGATGAGTTTTTGATTCAAGGTGTTTGGAGAACCACAATCTTGGCAGGGTGAGAGTGTCCCAATCACACGTGATGAAATACTACATAGAACGTGTTTCTCATATTTCCATCACCCTTTGAATGGGGCCAGATGTCCAAGTTTGTTACTCACGCATCAAGAAGCACATGACGTTTTCAGACTGGACTATTTTTCACTGTAGCTCAAACACATTGACGTGGTTGGGGTAGGGCCCTAGTTCTAGTTTCTATTTCAGTAAGTCCAAGAGCTATGAATGACTCAAAAAGCAGTGTGCTTGGTCAGGTTCAGTTGTGTATTTCCTGACCATTGTTGCCAGTACAGCTGGATCTAAGGGCTTTCCAGAAGGTGTATAGGACTGTGCCCTCTTCAGCTCTATGCTGCATCATCTCCTCCTAGGACTTGACCCCATGTGATTTCATGGTTACGTTCAATAAATGAATGGCCACCCCCGCTCCCATTATAATAGAATCATAGAATATTTTAGGACACAAAGAGGCCATTCCGCCCATCATGCCTGTACCAACTCTTTAGAAGAGCTACGTAATCAGTCCCATTCCCCCGCTCTTTCTCATATCCTTGCAATTTTTTCCTTTTCAAGTACCTATCTAATTCCCTTTGGAAAGTTGTTATTGAATCTGTTTCCACCAACCTTTCAGGCAGTGCATTGCAGATCATAAAAAAACATTGTGTAAAAAAAATGTCTCCTCATCTCCCCTCTAGTTCTTTTGCCAATTATTTTAAATTATGTCTCCTAGTTACTGACCCACCTGCCAATGAAAACAGTTTCTCCCTTTCTATTCTATCAAAACCTCTCCTAATTTTGATCAGCTCTCCCCTTAACCTTCTCTCAAAGGAAACAATTCCAGCTTCTCTTGTCTCTTCAAATAACTAAAGTCCTTCATCCCTGGTACCATTCTGTAAATCTCCTCTGCACCTTCTACAAGGCCTTGATATCCTTTCTAAGATATGGTGCCCAGAACTGGGCACAATAATCCAGCTGAGACCTAATCAGTGATTTATAAAGGTTTAGCAGAACTTCCTTGCATTTGTACGTTATGCCTCTATTTATAAAGCCAAGGATCCCACATGTTTTTTTAACAGCTCTGCCAAACTGTCCTGCCACCTTCAAAAAGGCCTGTATATGTGAAGCCCCAGGAATCTTTGCTTCTGAACCCCCTTTAAAACCATAGTATTTAGCTTATATTGCCTCTCCTCATGCATCATCTCACACTGCTCTGCATTAAATTTCATCTGCCACGTGTCTGCCCATTTCACCAGTGTGTCTAAAAAAAAGTTCATAGCTCCCCACAGCAGGCTATGAAGTGAGAGTTTTCTGACGGGGTGGGGCCAGGCAATCTGAGCCTGTGTCGCCCAATATTAGTGAGCGTGAGAGGGTGAGTTCTTGGTTATTGAGTAGCTGTAGCTTTTTGGCACCCGAGTGTTAAGTTTAAATGGTAATATATAAAGTACTGTAACGGAATAGTTCATTTGGACTGCGTGCGCTGATGATTTACAGTCAAAATCTCTTACTAGTACCACTATCTAAGTAATAATACTTGCATTTGGTATGGCACTAGTTATTGTTGGGAGGATGTCTCAAAGTGCTTCACAGGATTTACTGTGGAGTGTCTTGTGTATTTGTGGGCTCAAGTGGCAGCCAATTTGCGCACAGCAATGTGCCACAAACATCCATGAAGTGAATGACCAATTTTATTTGGAGGATTGTTGGCCAGGACACTGGGAGAAACTAGCTTCTCTTTTCAAATATTGCCATGGGATTTTTAACGACCACCTGAACAGGCAGACGGTACCTTGGTTTAACATCGCCACCGAAGGATGGTACCTCCAACATGGCAGCACACCTCCAGCAATGCATTGGAGTGTCAGCTGAGACTTGTGAGCTAAAGTCCCAATGAGGGGCTTGAACCCACAACCATCTGATCCCAAGAGGAGGAGTGCTACCACTGTGCGTTGCTGACACCTGAGTGCATTCGTGATTCATTGAGACAGTTGCTGCAATATAATTAAAAATAAATGAAGAAATTAACAGGAAATATGCAGAGCAGATGGACGAATATGGATTATGGGACAAGTAAAATATTAACGTGATTTATAGAACCAAAATAAAGGTCATAAGCGACACTTTACAGACAAAGAAATATAAAGGAGTTCACCCTAGGTATTTAAAGTGTTATTGACAAATCTGAATAAAAATCTATAGAATGGGATGGCCAAAAAAAAATAACTGTCTAAGTGATACATTCTTTACTAGCGGGCTTGACATCAATGTAGGCAATCTCCTAATAATGCAGAAACCATATGCCTGTGAACCTCTATTATATATTCCTCCTCTCTGGACATCATTGTGTTTCGATTCCCTGTATTGAGAGGTTTTCTATCACCCCGTTAATACTTGTTACGAACTGATACACCAAAATGGTTCTCGCTTGCCACTTTAAATGAGGATCTGGACTCTGAATGTCTAACGTCTGATATTCTGTACCAATATTTTTACAACATTGCAGATATCATACGCCAACGCTAGTTATCTGATGGGTTAACGTTAAGTTCACCGTCCTAACAGCACTGTGTATTTGCAGCCGGTTCCCGCCAGAATGTGCTTACGGCGCGTTTCATCCACCCTTGCGTCCATCAAACGTACACTTTTTACATTTTTTTATTTTAAAAAAAAAGGAAAGCACATCGCCACTGATCAACTGACATTTATTCCATCTAATACTTGCTGGTGGCTTCAGCCATCCGAGCACCGAAAAATGAAAGCCGATGTACAGAAGAGTTACAGAGACAAATGTAAGTTCTTAGTAAGATGTGTATTGCCATAATAACTGGATTAATATTATAATAATAATAATCCTTGCATTTGAGATAGCGCCTTATCACGTCGCTGTCAGTGGATTTACACGAGCACTGCATTAAAATAGGAACATAATACAAAGTTTTTTGTTGGGACACAACACACAACAGACACCCACAACACACAACACACACACACAACACACAGACAACACACAGCACACACACAACACATAACACACCCACAACACACACTGCACACAACACCCCCACACCCACAACACACACACACACCCACAACACACACACCCCCACAACACACACACCCCCACAACACACACACCCCCACAACACACACAGCACACAACACACCCACACCCACAACACACCCACAACACACACACACCCACAACACACACACAACACACACAGCACACAACACACCCACCCCCACAACACACACACCCCCACACAACACACAGCCCACACAACACACAGCCCACACAACACACACACCCCCACACAACACACACACCCCCACAACACACACAGCACACAACACACCCACACCCACAACACACCCACAACACACACACACCCACAACACACACACAACACACACAGCACACAACACACCCACCCCCACAACACACACACCCCCACAACACACACAGCACACAACACACCCACACCCACAACACACACAGCACACAACACACCCACACCCACAACACACCCACAACACACACACACCCCCACAACACACACCCACAAAACACACACCACACAGCACACACCCACAACACACTCACCCCCACAACACACTCACACCCACAACACACCCACAACACACTCACCCCCACAACACACTCACACCCACAACACACCCACAACACACCCACACCCACAACACACACAGCACACAACACACCCACAACACACACACACCCCCACAACACACACCCACAAAACACACACCACACAGCACACACCCACAACACACTCACACCCACAACACACCCACAACACACTCACACCCACAACACCCAACACACTCACACCCACAACAGACATAACACACCCACGACACACACTCACACGACACACAGCGACCACATCCAAGTTCTTGTGGCCGACGGGGAAGTCACTGCCCGCGAGTGGCCGCGGGCACAGCGCTGGTCGCCAAAGCGGCTATTTCACGCGCTGCCACTCGTCGGGACGGGGGGTGCGACGCAGCGTCGGGAGTTCGCGCCGCCGTCGCTCTGCGGGAGAGGCCGTCCGCGGGGTCCTCCGCCCCCCGACACCGACACTCCGCCGAGAGGCCGGAACAGCCGCCGCCGCCGCCCGAGAGGAGGGCCCGGGGACGGGGGACGGGGGGACCCCCGAATAGCAGCGGCCGAGAGGCGGCGTTCCTGCCGGAGGGCGGGGCCCGGGAGGCGGGGCCCGGGGGGGGCGCTGACCGGCACCTCCCGGCTCTTGGCGCCGACCAGAAGCGACAGGCCCGGGCCCCCCGCCCCCCCCGGGCCCCGCTTGCCCAGGGTCGGGATCCCGGCCGCGTGGTTACCGGAGCCGTACAGGAGTTCGTAAAGTTTACAGCGGCACTTTCTCTGGCGACAGCACCGCGGGAATCCCCGGGACTCCGGCACAGCGATCAGCAGCATTGCCACCACCAGCAGCAGCTTCCTGTGGGCCTGAGGGGGGGACACACACTCACTGTGACTGGGACCGCACAGGACAGCACAGGACAGCGCCCACACACACACACACACAGTACAGCGCCCACACACACACACACAGTACAGCCCCACACACACACACACAGTACAGCGTCCACACACACACACACACACACAGTA